TCATTAGCAACACCACTAACAGGTGTTGGCGAGGATGGGGGGCGGGGCGGGGAAGGAACCCTTTTACACTGCTGGTGGGAATGCAAACTAGTACAACCACTCTGGAAAAAAATTTGGAGGCTTCTTAAAAATCTAAACATAGATCTACCATATGATCCAGCAATACCACTCTTGGGGATATACCCAAAAGACTGTGACACAGGTTACTACAGAGGCACTTGCATACTCATGTTTATTGCAGCACTATTCACAATAGCCAAGTTATGGAAACAGCCAAGATGCCCCACTACTTAATCCAAGATGGATTAAGAAAATGTGGTATTTACATACAATGGAATTTTATGCAGCCATGAAGAAGAATGAAATCTTACCATTCACAAGTAAATGGATGGAACTGGAGAACATCATTCTGAGTGAGGTTAGCCAGGCCCAGAAGACCAAAAATCGTATGTTCTCCCTCATATGTGGACATTAGATCAAGGGTAAACACAACAAGGGGACTGGACTTTGAGCACATGAGAAAGCGAGAGCACACTGGGGAGATATGAGGATAGGTAAGACACCCAAAAAACAAGATAGCATTTGTTGCCCTCAATGCAGAGAAACTAATGCAGAAACTTTAAAGCGACAGAGGCCAATAGGAGAAGGGGACCAGGAACTAGAGAAAAGGTTAGTTTGAGAAGAATTAATTTAGAATGTAACACATATGTACAGGAAAGCAATGCGAGTAAACTCCCTGTATAGCTATTCTTATCTCAACTAGCAAAACCCCCTTGGTCCTTCCTATTATTGTTTATATTCTCTCTTCAGCAAAATTAGAGATAAGGACAAAATAGTTTCTGCCTGGTAGCAAGGGGGTAGGGGCGGAGAGGGAGGGGGTGGAGGGAAAGGGAGGAGGCGGGGGGAAAAGGGGAGAAATGACCCAAACATTGTATGCCCATACGATTAAAAGAAATAAAAAAAAAATTTTTATGCAAAAAAAAAAAAAAAAGATATTTATTGCAGTGTTAGTTACAGAAGCAAGATTAAAGATAACCTAAATATCCATTAATAGGAGACTTATTAAATAATATTCATTCACATGGAATACTACAATACTATTAAAAAAGACTAAGGCTGTGGCACTGGTAATTTCCAAGTGGTTATATGGATGCGCTCAGTTGTGAAAATAGGTTGAGTTGTAGATGACATGTGCTCATTCCTTTATGTGTATTATACTTCAGTAAAATATTAAAAAAAAGAATGCAACAAACTTATTTACATTGATATGGAATATACTTTAAAATATTAAGTAAAAAAAAAATCAAGGTACCAAAGAGTACCGTTATGTTACAATTTGTGTATAAAGTTTGAAACAGACAGATAAATAGATAAAAGAAATGCCTATATGCTTTGGGAGAATATAAAAGTAGCTGAAAAGGTATCAGTTCATTATATGCAGAACTGGAAGCTCATGGAGAGAGAGATTGTATCTTTTACCACTATTATCTGTTTCCATGCATATTTACTCATTTTACAATGTCAAAATCTAACCTAGGAAGTCAAAACAGGATGATCCATTTCTCTTTTAGGTGCCAGCCTCCTGGCTTGGGACAATTTGCTGTGACTTGAGCCATGATAAGCACACAGATTACTTGGGATGGGAAGAGGCAGTGTACTAGTGGTAGTTTGCTACACAGAAAGGGAAGGGATATAATTAACAGACTATCTCAACTATAAAATGTGTTTGATTCCCATCTAGCCCTTTCTACCTGTGTGATCCCAGACTGCTACTAACCTACGTCTCAGTTACTTCACCTAAAAAATGAGTATACCACTAACAGAACTCTTAAGATTAATAATACTAGCACTTGTACAAGTGCACATGAAGCACCTAGCATAGTCCTTGAAGCCTACTTGGTACTCAAGTATTTATATTTGCTCTTCTTTCCCCCAAAATAACTTATCTGAAGAGTTAGGGAGCCAGGAGTTACAGAAAAGCAGTAGGGAATGAGATTTTCAGTCTGGGAGTGCAAAACCTTGGAAAGGTATATGGAGAGAGAAAATTGAAACTAATAAAACAAGCTTGATGGAAATGAGGACAGTGAAGCAAAAACAGGTTTCAGAGGTTGGGCAGAAGGTTTGGGACACAGCAGCACCTCAACCTGGGAGCTGACAAAAGACATGGGCCAGCAGAGAAACCGGCAGTTTTCTTTTTATTTATTTATTTTTGGCATACTGGGGTATGAACTCAGGGCCTCACACTTGTTAGTCAGGCACTCAACTACTTGAGCCACTCCACAGCCCTATTTTGGGTTGGGTATTTTTAAGACAGGGTCTCATGAACTATTTGCCCAGGGTTGGCTTCAAACCTCGATCCTCCTGATCTCTGCTTCTTGGGTAGCTAGGATTATAGGCATGAGACACTGGTGCCTGGCCTGGCAGTTTTCTTGAGATCTCTCTTCCTCTCTTCCCACCCTCTACCTCCTCCCTGTACTCTCCTTGATCAAAAACAATACTTTAAATGGTTCATTCCTCTTACCTGTCTAGGTATGAATACTATAAAGCAAAGCACATAGTAAAACTCTTAGTCTCACACAGCTTTGAAACGCTCTAGGTCAGAACTTGTCAAGTTCTTTAAAAATACAGAGGAGGAAGTGGAAAAGAAGGGAAATGCTATTAATTTTACTTATTTTCACAAAGCAAATCCACTGTGGGGAGCGGAGTATGAGAAACCAATGAGAACTTGACATAAGCACAGATGTGTCAAATCGGCAGGCTGAGTTTGGCATGACCCAGCCACAGAAGGGGATGAAGGCAAAACACAGCACAGCTGCTTTTCCTAAGTCATTCAGAGAAGTAGAATGCAGGTTTCTTGTTACAATGTCACACCCCTCCCTGAAAACTGCTGCTCCACCTCCTTGTTTACCAGTGGATATAAAAGATTTGCTGAAGGAGGACATGAAGGATCGATTGGGAAATGGATTGATGTATTGATTGGCTGCCTGCTTGTGAGAATGCTGCTGCTGCTGCTGCTGCTGGCTGTTTGTGTGTCTGTGAGTCTAAGGACCAAGACTTTAGGACAGAACATGGGACAGGGCAAGTCTGAGGGCCAAGACTTTAAGAGAGATTAAGGAAAACAAGGGACAGTGAGAATCTAAGGAAAGAGACTTTAAAGAATAGAAAAGAAGACAAGACTTTAGAAGGTTTTAAAGAATAGAAAATTAGAACGACTTTAGAAATAAGGTTTTAAAGAAAAGAATAAAGAAGCAAAGTAAAAGAAGTGTTAATAGGGAAAAGAAGTAATGAGGCTGTTGTGCGTCTCCATCCAAGCGCCCAATACAGGAACCTGACCCCAACTTTCTGCATGTTTGTCTTCTATCCTTTGTCCTTCTGCATCTCCACTCACCCCAGTTAGGTTAGGAGACAGAAGCTCATGAGATTAATCTCGGGGAAACAGATGTGCTTCTACTTTTTGTTGTTTTTTGAGATATGGCTTATTACATAGCCTAGAAAGGCCTTGAAACTCATGACCCTCCTGCCTCAAACTCCCAAGTGAACAGATGTGCCCATGTATGTTTGTGTGAGTGTGCACACACACTGCACATGCAAGGTATTTTTGAGATAGGGTCTTGCTTTTTGCCCTCACTGGCCTCAAACCTTGTTCTTCTTGATCTCTACCTCCTGAGTAACTAGGACTACAGGTGCCCAGCAACAGATGTGCTTGTATAGAGCTACCTTTGAGGTAATTACATTCATTAACACCACACTGCCTAATCAATTCTACAGTATTAGGTATGGCAACATATTTTGAAAAATCTCAATTCATTGGTTCAAGATCCCATTCTCATTCACTCAACAGATTTTAACCAAGTTACTCTACTGTGTGCAAGGTATGTGCTAGGTGCTATAACAAAATGGAAAATCTCACCACTGTCAAGATGTTCATATTACCATCAAGGCAGGTGGTATAAATGACAAAAACTGCCGTGAGTTCAGAAAAGAGTTTCCTGAAGGAAGCAACATCAACCATAGCTTGAAAATCAAACCAGCTTTCAATAAGGTGAGAAAAATTAAGCCTTCCAGACAAAGGAAACAGACTGAAGGAAGATAAACATCCTTTCTCTACTTTGGTAGGTATAGGAAAGGAAATTAAGAGTACCAATAATTTTAAATTGATACTCTTAAGAGTACCAACCTTGTTTTAGAAAAAGCAGTATTTTTTGGTTTTGCTCTAGAAATTTTTTTTGCTTCAGAAATAATTTTTCCTATTTGTATAAATGTTAAAGAACTTAGAAGTCCACTTTCCCAAGTTTCTCAAGTAACAAAGTCCATTAAATATTACACTAATGTTACCTTCAAGACCCAGATTTGTCTTTCCATAAAAACTTACAAAGAACAAAATAATCATAGTGACATGCATTGCATGCTTACATTTAAAGAGGGTCTTATAAATAGCATGGTAGATAGAAAATTGGCTTATAATGATATAGACCTGGGTTCCTAGTACTTACTAGCAGTTGGACCTTCAAAATATTCTTTGTCTGAAAGTCAGTTTCCTTACTGATAAAAAGGAAGTAATTACCCTGCAAGGAAGCCTGCAAGGTAGGGAGAGAATGTATACAAAGTACCCTGTGTACAAAAGGTATTTTTTTCAATGTCTTCTTCAGTTTAAAAAGGGACATAGTAATTACTCATGAGCTATTTCACAGATTCTACACATCACTTGGTCAGTATCATACTAGATCAAAATTAGAAAATAAGTGACCCACAACATTATGAAAACTTTTATGCCATGCTACTTGTAACCCAGGCTAGCCCCAAACTCTCCATCCTCCTGCCTCAGTCTCCCAAGTGCTAAGATAACACCACTTTTTATATTATTACATTAGCCTTTAGGTACAGAAACTCTCTGTCTTGACTGGTGACCATGGTATGAAAGCCATTGCCTGTGACATACTGTACCTTTTGGTTTGATTTCTCTTCCCTTGAATGGCTAAAACGTGTAAGCTAACACAAACCTGTCACAGTCCGCTGGCCATCACTTAGGTTATTCCACCACTTGTTAATCTAAAACAGAAGGAAAATTGCTGATCACCATATATGAAATACTTTCAAGCTAGGAAAATGAAAAATAATAAAGGTAGTAGAGTGTTTGATAGTCAGATTACATTCTCTGATATAGAACTAGTGATTAGACATTTTATTTCTAAACTTCAATTTTCTGATACATAAAATGGGACAACAGTAGATGCTTAGCCCTGCTGTCTTGAGGAATATCAATAATGTGAAGCAGGTACCAAGTGATTATTCACCAGGGTCCAATCTAGCACCTAGTACATACCTAGTACCTAGGTACTAGGCATGGCAGTACATGCCTACTGTCCCAGCTATTCAGGAGGTTGAGGCAGTATTGCTGGAATCCAAGGGTTCTATGCCAGCCAGGTCAACACAGCAAGACCATTTCAAAAACTAAAAGTTCTGAGAATATTTTGTACTAAAATTGCTACTTTTTTTAAGATATAATAATGGTACTGAGGTTCAGAAAAAGAGATAAGGAGAATCCTAACTTTTCAAGGGCACACATTGAAGTTGTTGTGTCCTCTTCTTTCATACATTGAAATTTTTATGGATGAAATGTGCTAACAGCTTGCTTTACAACAATATAGTGAGAAGAAGCGAGGGGAATGAAAGAGAAATGGATGAAAAACAAAGGTGGCCACGTGTTGATAACCACTGAAGTTGGACAATATTATTTGTTCTACTTCTGAACCTAAAATTTTCCACAATTAAAAATTTTTTTTTATTTATTATTCATATGTGCATACAAGGCTTGGGTCATTTAATTGGGTCACAATTAAAAATTTTAAAGAAAAAACATTCTATGAATGAAATCAAACCAGATTTTATGAAATTTACAGTAAAAAAATTACAGATCAGTGTACATATGACTTCATTTCTATAATTATAATTTGTATATGAGTTCCCAGACCTTATTCACTACATAATGGGGTTTCAAGGATGGGGTTCCAAGGACTTTAAAATTCTCTGTGTCTCTTTGAGGCCAAGATCTTGCTTTGTTGCCCAGAATGGTGTGGAACTCCTGGGCTCAAGCAGTCCTTCCACCTCAGCCTCCAGGTAGCAGGGACTACAAGCACATGCCACCACACTCAAGACATTCATTTTCTATATTTTATTTATAATTGTTTCTTTGTTTTTTGGGGGGTAGGACAGTATTGTGGTTTGAATTCAGGGCTTCACATTTGCTAGGCGGGCACTCTACCATTTGAGCCACTCTGTCAGCCCCATGTTTCAATTTTTAATGGGCACAGATTTTTATATCCTATAACCTATGATTTATTATTTTTTAAAATCTATCTTTGGACTTAGATTATGTATATTGCTTACATCATTTTTTATAGTTCTGAAGAACCATTCAGGCATATTTGGGTATTGAAACTTCACAGCACAGAGATGTGCTACAAAACTGTAACTTCCTAAGGGATCAATATGAAATGGGTCAGGTGGACTGAATAAAAATCTGCTTGTTATCATTTTCACCTGCAAGTATTATAAATCGTTCTTCTGGCACAAAGCCTCTCTACAACAGACAGTGCTCATGCTTCTTGAATGTGTCGTTGGGGAAACAAGGAGGAATGAATCTTTCTGTCTATATTTAGGAAGCTCAAACTGTCATTAGTAAAAAGAAAACCCATGGCTTCCTTCTCAGGCTTTCACTGGCCAGGATTGGACTGTTCCTTAGGAAAGGGAAAAGTAAAAGGGCAATGTGTAATAAAAAGCAAAGGTGCTTGAAAAACAAATGGACCCTGAACCACATATTAACCTATGCCCTCAGTACTCATTAAGTATTGGCAAATAAAATTAAAAGATTTATGTGGTTTATTTAGAAGGAATCTTTTTTTAAAAAATCAGTTAAGAGGAAAGAGAGCCATCAGTTTGCAAATAAAGTAAATGGAAGCTCTACAATCTCTGTATTTGCACTTCTTTCTTATATTGTATCCCCAAGCACAGTCAGAAGCAGGCAACAGTGTGGAATTATGAGTGGTACATAAACATCGTGTCAGTGACAGGCTATTATTATTATTTGTGTGTGTGTGTGTATGTGTGTGTGTTGTACTGGGGTTTAAACTCAGGGCATAACACATGCTAGACAAGCACTCTGTCACCTAAACCATACAACAGACTTTTTGGAGTTTTGGGATTTGCTTTGGTTTTGTTTGTTTTCTTTTCAGATAAGGTCTCACTAACTTTGCCTAGGCTGGTCTTGAACATGTAATCCTCCTGGGTCTGCCTCCTGAGTAGCTGGGATTACAGGCAACGTCACCACACCTGGAGATTTTTTAAAGAACTGTCAGGGGTGATTTTGGTATAAAATTCTTGGAACACTATCAAGTACAATACTCCCAATATACAACATGTTAATAAATACTTACTGTGATGAAAGGACTCTAAAAGAAGAATGTTAATTACACTTCGCATCTATGGATGAAATGCCCCCATTAAATGAAAATTCTTCCTAAATGACGAGACTTCAAAAACTGTGGTTAACCTCTTACACTGTTGGTGGGAATGTAGACTAGTACAACCACTATGGAAAAAAATTTGGAGGCTACTTAAAAAGCTGGACATCGATCTACCATTTGATCCAGCAATACCACTCTTGGGGATATACCCAAAAGACTGTTACTCCAGAGGCACCTGCACATCCATGTTTATTGCAGCACTATTCACAATAGCCAAGTTATGGAAACAGCCAAGATGCCCCACCACTGACGAATGGATTAAGAAAATGTGGTATCTATACACAATGGAATTTTATGCAGCCATGAAGAAGAACGAAATGTTATCATTCGCTGGTAAATGGATGGAATTGGAGAACATCATTCTGAGTGAGGTTAGCCTGGCCCAAAAGACCAAAAATCGTATGTTCTCCCTCATATGTGGACATTAGATCAAGGGCAAACACAACAAGGGGATTGGACTATGAGCACATGATAAAAGGATAGGTAAGACACCTAAAAAACTAGCTAGCATTTGTTGCCCTTAACGCAGAGAAACTAAAGCAGATACCTTAAAGCAACTGAGGCCAATAGGAAAAGGGGAACAGGTACTAGAGAAAAGGTTAGATCAAAAAGAATTAACCTAGAAGGTAACACCCACGCACAGGAAATCAATGTGAGTCAATGCCCTGTATAGCTATCCTTATCTCAACCAGCAAAAACCCTTGTTCCTTCCTATTATTGCTTATACTCTCTCTACAACAAAATTAGAAATAAGGGCAAAATAGTTTCTGCTGGGTATGGGGGGGGAGGGGGCGGAGTGGGTGGTAAGGGAGGGGGTGGGGGCAGGGGGAGAAATGAACCAAGCCTTGTATGCACATATGAATAATAAAAGAAAAATGAAAAAAAAAAAAAAAAACTGTGGTTAAAAGAAAACAATGTTTATCTTTACCTCCTTTCTGAGGTCTCCTTCTTTTTGTGGTCTTATGCTATCCAACCAATCAGCTTTTATGCCATCAAAATAACTCTGCACCCTGGATTTCAGTGACTCATATTGCCAAATAGCAGCTGATCCAAATGCACAGCCTGTAAACTATATAAAATTAAATATGTTACAAAGTAACTTTAATAGAGAAATAGATTTATCTATATTTTTTTCTCCAAGGACTTTCACCTGGCACAGTAAACCTACTAAGTAACAAAAACATTCTATTGTTTTCCATTTTATTAACTTTACAGTAACTTGAGGCCTGTTTCCAGCAACAAATCTCCAAATAAGATTTGAAGTAGTAACTTAGTACCACTAGAAATGCTGTACCAAATAGGAGGATCACAGATTTTTTTCTGCAAGACCTGATTCTAAAAGCAATTATTAAATTCACTCTGTAAGCAAAACTCACGAACCAGCAATCCAATTCCTGTTGATCTCCCTGCCACACACCCCTGTCCTTACTCTAAAGGAGTCTAACTAGGACAAACAGCACTTGAATACTATATTGGCAGCAAGCTAGGTAACCACTGTGATGTGAACTCTTACCCCAACAGTGAAAAAAAAAGGTTTCACCAGAGTCCTGATAGGGTAGGGAGAAGGATAAAAGACGGTTTCTTCTACAGGAGGAATCAAAGCACTCCTCTTGTATGATTCACCACTTGATCCTGTGTCTGATCTTCGAGGTTCAACCTTCCTGGGTGCTTTTCTGAATCCACATTTTTGCTGAATAAAGAAATTAAACCTATGGGGGAAAATATCAGATTAGAAATAGAGTGGCATGTTACAAACATCAACTCTACAAGCCTCTACTTGGCCTCCATCATTACCATCTGTTTATTCTCTACTGTCCAACAAGAACCAGGATTCCTAGTTCCAGCTACTCAAAGTAGCAACATTTAACCTTTCTGGAACAGATTAGACACAAACTACAACCAACTTCAGAGTACTAGCTTGGGCTACTGCTTTGTGCCAATCAATAAAATAATTTGTATCCATTCTTCACTAAGAATCTGTTATCTTGCAGAAGGCTACAGAATTCTTAAAACTATCAGTTACAATCAGCATAGAATGGCTTTGCTTGGTCAATTTTCAGAACAAACATTTATATTATTCTTGCAGTCACAACTATTTCTTTTGATAAGTACTGGTCAGTATAAAGTGATGGATTCCTCCCACCTCTTACCCTATTTCACTATTTTTGGTTACCCAGCAAATATATTTGAAAAGATTTTTTTTTACTGTTTGAGTCCTTTTAGCTTGGCCTTCTCAAAATATCTGACACTACTGATCATGCCTCCCCAGTCCTAGTTTCTGGTGAGACTGCACACTCTACTCTTCAAACTCAACTTCAACTCTCCTAATAGTTTTCTTTTCTTCAACCCCTTAATGACAGACATGCTTGTAAGGTCCAACAGTTTCTTTACTCCATTCAAAGTCAACCCATGTAAATTCCCCAGGTCAACAAAAGCAAAGACCCCTGCCCCCCTTCCTGTCTGGACTCACTGTACTTTTTTTTTCTTCTTATGGGAATGGAGTTTGAATTCAGGGCTTCGTGCTTGCAAAGTGAGCACTCTACCACTTGAGTCATGCTTCCAGTCCGTTTTGCTTTGGTTATTTTTGGAGATTTGGGGGGAAGGGGGTTCCCTCTCAAACTACTTGCCTGGACTGGCCTCAAACCACAATCCTTCCTCTCAGCCTCCCAAGTAGCCAGGATTACAGGTGTGAGCCACCAGCGCCTGGCCCCAACAGCTTATTTAACACCAACACTTTAACATGCTGCATGATCTTCTTTCCTCACAACACTTTTCCTCAAATACTTAACAATTCCTAGGCTTATGGGGTGGCTCAAGGGGTAGGGCACCCACCTAGCAAGTGTGAGACCTTGAGTTCAAACCCCAGTACCGAAATAAATAAACAAACAATTCCTCAAATGGCCTATTGCAGGGCCCAAAATCTCACCCTACTGACTACAATTATTACTATTCTTGCCTAGAAATGCCCTTTCTCTTCAGTACCAAGTCCACTACTAAGTTCTTTTCAGAAATCACTTCCAGCCTCTTCAGTATGGTACAGTATGGCTTTGTCACCCAGAATTCTGGGTGGCATCAGGCTTAAGAATTTTTCAGGAGTCCCTTGGGAAGGTTTTGCTCACCTGATAAAAATAGACACACGTCTATCAATCTGTTCCCTCTCTCTCTTCTCCTCTCTCTCTCCTCCTCTCCCTCTCTCAAGAATATAATGTCTAAAGCTATCTCTAATACCAAAACAAAAGCCAAAGGATTTAGATACTAACCTTGACATTTCTGATCTACTGAGCAAAGATGGTAGCCACTTACCCCCAATCATCTTAAGTCACTGCCATTTATTTAAACCACCATCAGTTTATTTACAGCCAAATGCATTCTTAAATGTTTCTTTCTTTCTTTTTTTTGAAGTACTGGAGATTGAACTCAGAGCTTCACACTTACTAGCAAGCACTCTACCACTTAAGCCATGCTTTAAGTCCTTTTGTTTTTAGTTTTCAGATAGGGTCTCATGCTAACTTTCCCAGACTAGCTTTGAACCATGATCCTCCTAACTCCACCTCCTCAGCAGCTGTATTGTAGGTATGTACAACCACACCCAGCCCCTAAGTGATACGATTTTTTTATTCATATGTACATACAATGTTTGGGTCATTTCTCCCCTCCTTCCCCCCAGTGATACGATTTTTAAAGTGGCAAGTGTTAGCCTTTTGCAATTGGTTTGATTTCTATTAAATAATCTAAAATAACTTAGAACTAGTTCTAGTAAATGAAAGTGGCAAGTAATCAAATCAAGTAATGCCACTTTGGGCCAAAACAAAGGTGTAACATAAAGTAATCAGAATATGTTTACTATAGTTGTAACCCAGTATTGTTGGCTTCTAGCATTTCTCTTACTACACCAAGAACTATGAAGGATTTATATCCTTCATATTTACATTCTTACAGCTTAAACTAATCAGCCTTTTTTTTCTTTGACATGGCCTCAAACTCTTGGTCCTCCTCCTCAGCCTTCTGAATGTGGGATTTCAGGTGTATGTAACCACATCCAGATAAATCAACCAATTCCAATGAAAGAGTATTTCTTTTATACCTCACCAATTATTAAAATTTCGAGGCACAGTATTTGAAAAGAAACACAAACACAGTAGGTTGGGAACCTGGACTCAAAGCAAAGTCAGATCATTTACCTAAAATATTTACCTTAAGAATCTCACTAGAAACAAGTACAGAGCTGAGGACATCAAGAGTGTTAACAAGCTGACCCCAGAGTTAAGTTTGGAACTTATCAGATGTGATGTAGAAATAATAAGTGTGAGTACATATAAAGAAAACTATAAATGGACATAAAGAATGTGTTGGATAGAATTCGACAGTGTCTTGGCTCACTGAACTATTGCTTATGCATTCAGATGGTGCAAGTACTAGAAAGCCAAAGACTATTTCTCAACCCTTCCTGGAGGTAGAGTCCAAGATGTGATCTGGGTGCTAGTCAGACATACTGGCATAATACTTGAATAAGAAACTGAGTCTAGTAAGAAGATTTCAGGCACTAATTTTACTGGCAAAAATAATGGTAGAAGCAGCATAGAATTTGCCTTGTCAGCAGATCCTGATTTGGCAGTTTTCCCAGTTCTCTCATTATTGTGTAACAAACCATTCTAAAATTTACAAGCTTAAAACCATAATTTATTATTTCTAGTGAGTCTGAGGATTAACTGTCCTCAGCTAGGTAGTTCTTCCATTGGTCTCTCTGGATTACTCATGCAGCCAGTCATCTGGAGCTGGAGAATCCTCAGTAGCCTCACTCCCTGTTTTCAGCCCTCCAGTCTTAGTGCTGGTGGTCAGGTGGTTACCTCTTCACATGGTCTCTCAGTATACAGTAGTTTTTAGCTCAACCAGTAAGCCAGACGTGGTGACACATGCCAGTCATCCCAGCTAAATGGGAGGTACAAATAGGAGGATCCTGGTCCAGGCCAGCCTGGACAAAAGGAGACTATGTTTTAAAAAAAATAAAAGGCTGGGAACATGGCTCAAATTGTAAATGGTCAAAATAGCAAGTACAAGGCCCTAATTCAACCCCAGTACCATCCAAAACAAACACACAAACAAAACAGAGTTGCTGACAGACATCTTATAACCACAGGTACATAGCACAGCATGCTGAAAGAATAAAGCCAACATTTAAGAAGAAGAGATGACGCATGGAGAAAATGGAGTTCTGGTGACAACGTGAAACACTAGCTCTTGTCTCACTAGAAGCCAGTCCTTCTGACCTCTGGATTTTCCAAATGCATAAACCAATAATTTCCCCTAATTGCTCTAGGCTGGTTAGAGTTGGGTTTTCTGTTGGCATAAGAATGTTTTTAGATGTAATAAGTATATTCATGGCATATTATATAACAAACTATATTCTTTAGCCAGCTTTTAAGTTTCTTAAAATGCAAAACAAAACAAAACACACTATCTCAAACTGCAAATGTTTGAGATCTTATTCACAGGTTTAGGTTATTTAGTGCTACTCACTCAGATAAGTGTGTAAGAAAATAGGAAACAAACAAAATGAGTGGGGATGAGGGAAAAGGTCCTTTGAAGTGTATACCAACTCATGACGGCAGGCCTACCTTTTGGCTCTACTGCTTAAGTCTTTCTTAAGCTGATAACTAGTGATTTGTGGAAGGAATCTAATGTACTCAAGTGGAAAGAGCTCATTAATACCTGAGTTACCACTAGCCACAGACTTACAGTTTTTTTTTTGTTTTGTTTTGTTTTGTTTCAGTACTGGGGCTTGAATTCAGGGCCTACACCTTTAGTCACTCCACCAGCCCTTTTCTGTGAAGCGTTTTTTCAAGATAGGGTCTCCAGAACTATTTGCCTGGGCTGGCTTTGAACCTCAATCCTCCTGATCTCTGCCTCCTCAGTAGCTAGGATTAAAGGCTCCTGGCTATGTCGTTTTTAATATGATCCCACAACTTTAAAGACAAGTTGTTTTTTCATTTAATGACAAGGCAACGCAGTCTCAAGTTTAATTGCTTTAAGAGTGTGAGGCTAAAGATAATACAATTTAAATATACTTACAGGTTCAGCACTAATGCCTGTTATTAAAATTTTGTATGAACAAAATTGAGCAGAAATGCTGCCTTGCAAGCGTGAAGTCCTGAGTTCAAACCCCAGTACCACCAAAAACAAAACAAAATTGAATAGAAATAATCTAATATTCAAGTAGAAATGTGTCTAAGCACACCCAATAGATTAAATCCATTCTACTTGAAACAAAATATATTATTTGGGAGGGGGGATTGGGAGGGGAAACCTACATAAATTCTTACATGTCAAAAAAATTTTTTCTGACAGTACTGGGGTTTGAACTAAGGGCTTCATACTTATTCAGCAAGCATTCTACCACAAACCATGTCCCCAACCTCCAAAACTGCTTTCTTGAAACACATCTTGAGTTAATGGATGGCAAGTTAAACTAGGAATTCAATATATCTGATATACTAATTTATCAAGTATCTAAAGATACTAAGATTATCTCAGCCAGGTGCTGGTGCCTCACGCTTGTAATCCTAGCTACTCCGGAGGCAGAGAGAGATCAGGAAGATTGCAGTTTGAAGCCAGTCTGGGCAAATAGCTATGCAAGACACCATCTTGGAAAAAACCTTCACAAAAAAAGGGCTGGTGGAGTGGCTCAAGGTGTAGGCCCTGAGTTCAAGCCCCAGTACTGGAAAAAAAAAAAAAAAAAAGACTGTTATCTCAATCGAAAAAAACTAAGCTCTGTGTAGGTGCTATAACCAACTATTTTCTTGCATCGGACAGTTTCACACAATTGGCAAATTATACAGATTACTACTTTGAAGCTTAAATCATGCTCCTTAGAAGTACTGCCAGAAGCTTGATAACAATAAAATTTTTTCGCTGACATGAGATTTTCATCTTCTGTAAAGGGTCAGATAGTAAGTATTTTAGTCTTTGTAGACTACTGAAATCTCTCATAATTACTGTCTTTGGTTTTACAACACTTTAAACATGTAGATCCCATCCTTGGCTAGCTAGCAGGCACCTTGGGTCTGCACAGTTTGTAGACCCTTGTATCACCACCTACAGTGCTTATAAAATGCAAATTCTTGGTCCCTCTTCAGGCCTATTACGTCACAAACACCTGAGCCCAGTATGCGGGCTCAGGTAATTCTTAACATTCTTCTGCATACTAATTTTAGAACCACAGGAAACTCAAAACAGACCTGATATACATTAAATAGAAGGTAACTCATGTTCCTAATTAACTTTCCAGAAGCAAGGTACAAGTGCTGTGTTTCAGGTTTATCTAAATTTTCATGTTATACATTTTTCCCATGTAACCACCAAAATGCCATTTTCAAGCTTTCCACATAAATGGCAAGCTTTTAAAAAATAAAGTGCTTACCAGGCGCTTGTGGCTCACACCTGTAAATCTTAGCTACTCAGGAGGCAGAGATCAGGAGGATCATGGTGTGAGGCCAACCTGGGCAAATAGTTTGAGAGACCTTCTCTCAAAAATACCCAACACAAAAAGGGGCTGGTGGAGTGGCTCAAGTGGTACAGCGCCTGCCAGCAAGTGTGAGGTCCTGAGTTCAAACTCCAGTGTGGCCAAAAAACTTTACATGGTGTTCCTTGTTCACTGTTGCTCCAAATTTTTACCAGAGGTTACTTTAATCAAGTTAGTTTCCTTGTTTCTTCCTAAAACAGTACAGCAATGGGTACTCAAATCTTAAACACTGAATACACCTGCTGATTCTCAATAAGACATTCATCTTTTCTTCTTCCTCAAACCATGCAATCTCAAACAGACTTGGAATAACTAATGGAATCAGAATCACTGAATTCATCCATCATTATCTCCAACGGACCTCTTCATTCTCCATCTCCCCAGGCATTTAAGATTGGTGCCTGAAGCCCATCTTACAGTGTATCATGGAAGATTCATATACAGTGTGGAAGACACAATGTAGACGAATGTCTCACAAATGCCCAATTCACTTGCAGTGCTTATAGGAAATACAGGTTCTTCCATTCCTCCCCTGAATCTGATTTTGCAGAACTAGGTGAGGCCTGGGAAATGACAAACTCTACAAACACTCCAGGTGATTCTCATTTTTTCATTTATTTATTTTTGCGGTACTGGGTGGGGGGGTTAAACATAGGGCTTGGCAATTGCAAAGCAGAAAAAGCGCTCTATCATTTGGATCAAGCCTTTTTTTTTTTTTTTTTTTAGGTTGGGGGGTAATACAAGGTCTGGCTGTGTGGCCTAGGCTACCCTCTAACTCATGTTCTTCGTGCCTCATCTGGGACTACAAGGCAGGTGCTGGGCTCAGGTAATTCTTAACATTAGGCAATGGTTCCACCATACTGAAACCTTAATTATTTACCACAGGCTAGCCCACGTATTAATAAATAAGGTTTATTCGTTAGCTTCATTTCTAGCTACCATCATTCAAAACAAGTCAGAAACTGGGAAAGTTAGAAAGTCTGGATGGTTTCAAAGCCAATATACAAATAGATTCTTGAACTGTTGAGAGGTTTCTCCTCTCCTAATTTAGAACTAAATTATCCTTACGTAAAGCCGGCAAATACTGATAGACCACACTCTTCACACTGCTTCTACACAGCAAGTTAGAGTGGTCTTTCCAAAGCATCTAAAGAACAAATACTTCACTGTTAAACTCAACAAAAATGTTCTCCTCGCCTCCGCCCTCTTCGCTCTCTTAATGCTATAACGTGGTAGTGGGACAGAGGCTTTATAGTTTGACTGACAGAGAATAAAATCTCAACTCTGCCATTCCGCCAGCTGTGCAACTACTTCCATGCTGTCCAGGATTACGAGGCGTGGCCGTCGGAAGTCAGCTCAGCTCCCAGCGGGAAGGGGAAGCGCCCGCGCGGGGCCGGGCCGGGCGGCGCTAGAGGGAGGACGGAAAGAACACCAAGGAAAGGCAGGAAGAGAGAAGAGGCGGCAGGTGAGAAGGGGGAAACAAGAGGCCAGCAGCGGAGCCCCAGACGGCCTCCGCCCCCCAGGGATGCGCCGCCGCAGCTCAGGGGTCCAGAGGCGAGAAGCCCGGAATGGCGGTCATTACCTGCGTCCGAGCAGCCGCGGCGGGGCCAGGGCCGCAGTGAGTTCCTCGCAACTGCGGCCGCCCACCGGCGGAGCCCACGCTTGGCCGCAGCTCCAACCTCTCTGTGCCCAGCCTCGCCACGCCATCTTCCCAACCTCTGCCCCACCATGGCCCGACCTTACCAACCCCGCCACGGAACTACTTCCGGGGCGAAGGAAGAACCATAGAGCGCGAGGAGCGGCCTACAGCGCCATCGCGCGGCCGAGCGGAGTCCAACCATCCAAAAGCACCGATCACCCAGCGGCCCTCCCGCATGTAGGCCTCTCTTCCACCATCTAAGCCCTGACCTAAAGCCACCTGGGAGATCGGTCTGGCCTCCACCCTTTTATAGATGAAAAAGATGAGGCCCGAAAGAAAAAGAGGTGGGAAGACTAACATTATTGAGTAAGGCTATGCCCCAGGCACTTTATCATTTAATCAGAAAACACCGTTTGAAGTAGATACACTCACCACTGTTTCACAGTGCCTCAGAGGCTCAGAGAGGTGACATGAATTGCCAATCCTGACAGAGCTGGTCCCTGGAGGAACCAACATTGCAAGCCAAGTTTTCTTAACTCACTATTCTATTTTCCTACATCTTACCATTTCATGTTATCCTGATTTGACATTCAAAAGAGATGTGCCTCCTATCTTTAACAAAAGTCCAAGCTTGAAATGAAAATCCAGATTGTCTGCCTCCTGTCAGTCAGCTTTACTTTCTGCTACTTCATCCTTCCCACCCTTGTTGCAGCCATGTTGAATCACTGTTTCTCAAAAGCAGTTCCCACTTCTGTGAGTTCATACACCATTGTCGCTGACTGAAACCTTTCCCTTCCCCCCATCTTGACCTAATTAACCTAACCAACTTGTCCTTCAGATCAGCCTCAAATATCTCTTCTTCCAGAGTCCTTTCCCAGATGTTCATCTGATTTCAATGTCCCTCTGTTTACTTTTACATTGCTTTATACATACTTTTACAATAACACTGTAAGGGGAAGCAATGACAGTGGTGACTCCATTTTGGATGAGAGAGGAGGTTTAGAAACAGACATGTAAAAAGGCATAGGAAACAGGCTTCTCAGAAAAATAACAAGCCTCTCACCAAAATAGCAAGATGCAGCTGCACAATGTGGGTAGTGAGCCCCAAGGCCAGGATGAGCTGACCAGACCTTCTTGGAATGTTCAATAAGGAGAGGGAAGGACAGGAGTTCAGTGAGAAGGTGACTTGGCACCAACCAATCACAAATATAGTTTCAAGATAGAATAGTTGGGCCTAAGCCAGTTTGTGCCCTATGTCATCTTTTAGACTTCAGCCATTGTTTGGCTTAGCTCTTTCACTAAGTCCCACCCAGCAGAGTGCTTTGTTATCTTTTCAATAAACTTTATGCTTGCTTTACTTTTAACTTCTGGTCCAGTGTCTTCAATCATCAACTATGCCAGGAAGGACAGGAACTCAGGATCAACAATCCAGTATCAGCCTGGTGGAGTGGCTCAAGTAGTAAGAGTGCCTGCCTAGCAAGTGTGAGGCCTTAAGTTCAAAACTCAGTGCCGACAAAAATAAAAACAAACTTTGGAAACAATCTCATACCAACACCACATTCATTCTGTAAATACATATTAAGCACCTACTGTGTGCTTAATATTATATTAATTATATTCCAGGAATATAATTTGGAAGACACTATCTCCAACATCACAGAGATCTTACAGAATTGTACAATACATTGTGAAAAGTACTATGGCAGAAAAGATAAGGCTCTGTGAAATTTAAAGGAGCTATAACAGGGTCAAGGGCTAGGGGATAACAGAGTGGAAGAGAAAGCTTCCTACTGACAGAGGTTACTAAGAAAAGAAAGGCTGAAATACTCCAACCAGAGAGAGTAGTATATGTGATGTCTCCTAGGGTATGACTTGTTTGAGAAACTAAAATAAAATCGCTGGCTATTTCATAGTTGTAAGGTCTGGCATTTGATTTTACCTTATTTATAACCTGGAAGATTTGATGGTGGCAAAGACAAAAGACTATCGGGGTCAAAGACAAAGAGACTCCTAGGTCAAAAACAGAAGACTATTATCACAGCTCAGCAAGCAAGATGAGCATCTTGTTTGTATGCCGTGCCATGGGCCGGATGGGTGTTGAACATACAAGTGGGTTTGCCTCTCAGCTGAAGAATCTTGAGCTTGGGGAAGTCCGTTTGTAGTAAGCTTTTGTAGCAAACCAGCTAACAACCTTGGAAGGTTGAGATTATGTTTCTCTCCAGAGCAAAAGACAAATTTGCTTTTAACCTTAGAAGAAAAAGATGGTATCACCAGACAAAGCACAGGCCTATCGACTAATGAAAAAGTCTGATTTTTTTGTGTTTGGCAGGGGATGGGGGCAGGTAACTGGGGTTTGAACTCAGGGCCTCATGTTTGCTAGGCAGGTGCTGTACTACTTGAGCCACTTTGCCAGTTCCAATTCTGATTCTTAAGATCTTCATTCCTCTGCAATAATTCAACCCATTGAGGATGCAAGTGTCATTTAGCCCTCTTTGCATGCTCCATGGGAATTGGAACTCAAGGAACCAGGAGAAAAATTCTAATTTGGCCGATGCTATTGTTATAATTATACAAGACCCAGGAGTCTTGTGTTTTTTACCAGCACAGCTAAAACTATGACAGGCAAATTTGTTAGGGTTAGAGTAGGGTAAAATATCAGACCTTTCACAGTTCTTTTGTTTTTTGTGGTACTGGAGCTTGAACTCAGGGCCTTCACCTTGAGCCACTCCACCAGCCATTTTTTGTGATGTGTTTTTTTGAGATAGGGTCTCACAAACTATTTGCCCGGGCTGACTTTGAACCGTGATCCTCCTGATCTCTGTCTCCTGAGTAGCTAGGATTACAGGTGTGAGCTACTGGGCATCCAGCCCTTTCACAGTTCTTAATAGGGATCTATGAATTCACAATTTCTCCTGGGGAGGGCGTTTCTCTTGGGTGTGGCCATAGGAATGATGGCTGAAAGAAAAGGAAACTGAATTCACTAAAGATGAGGAAGCCCAGATACTGAGTCCTAAATGTTGACCAAGTCGCGTGCGTGAATTTGGAGTCAGTAGGATGAGAGCAGGACTTGGAATGAAATCCCAAGATTTCAGTGAAGGAGAAGCAGTGGTGATATTATTAACAGTACTGAAGAGGTGCTACATGTAAAATGCAGTTTCAACAGAAGAAAAATATGTGGGTCAGTGGATTGGCCCATCTCCAGGACCCAAGGCACCTGGGACGGGGACATACTGAATATTCTTTGCTTGCCCTTCCAGATCACTCTCACAGGATGCTCCAGGCCCACTGAAGTTGATTTTATGGACTACATCAATGGTCTCTCTAGCGTTATGGCTTCCAGCTGGGCTCAGCCAGTCCTAGGCAGGGACAAGAGATTGGAGCATGGGAAGAGAATGACTTTAGAGCACTTATTTCTCTCATTCTCTTCCTCCTTGAGACACACGCATTGGCTTCTGTGTTCTGTTGCTAACCTCTCTATTGCTTGATTTGAGTGAATGAAGATGCTGTTCTCAGTCATAATCTGAACTGATACAAGAAGAACGAGAGCCTCCATTCAGAGGCGACAGGAGAAGCAGTGTCTTCCGCAGATAGCCAGGAGTCAGCTGAGACAATGCCTGGAAGAATCTATGAGGGTGTTGACCATGGTCTGGGCAAAGGATAATTTATGGTTATTATTTGCTACTTATTGAATGCTTTATGTACAAGGCATTGTGCTAGGTATTTTGCATTCGTTATTGTGTGTGTGTGTGTGTGTGTGTGTGTGTGTGTGTGTATTTGTGGTATTGGAGTACCATTTACTTTATGGGAGGCAGATTTCCACAAAATTAAGGGCAGTGAAACAATCAGCAGATCACACAAAGATTTAATCATAATCCATGATAATGTGGGACTGACTGAGAGCTTCTTCCCCATCAGCTGAGCTATGGAATGTGCACATGGGAATTTAAAATTTTTGGTTTTGAAATTTCTTTTGATTTATTTTTTTGATCACTCTTGGTCAAACTACCATGTAAATAAGTCAGCTTTATGGAAACATTATATATATATTAGATATACTTAAGAGCAGATATAAATGTACAGTCATGTGCATTTTGACAGCACTTATACACAGGTACCCGTCACCATGATCAAGGTGTAGAACATTTTCACCTCCTTATGTCGCTTTACAGTCTACCCGTCTCCCAGACCTTGCGATCACTTATCTTATTTCTGTCCCTATAGTTTTGTGTTTTCAAGAATATCATAGAAACAGAATCATATAATATGCATTTGTGAGAACATACATTTCATTTCTTTTGGGTAACAATACCTAAGACTAGAATGACTGGGTTGTATGGTAATGCTTACTTTTACAAGAAGTTGCTGAACTATTTTCCATAATGGTTTACATTCCCACCAACAGTATGTAAGAGTTTCAGTTTCTGTGCATCTTTTCCGATTTTTGGACTTGTCACAGTTTTGTTTTCATAATTTTAACACATGTGGAGTGGTATCTCACTTTGATTTTAATTTGCATTTACTTAATTTAAGTAGTTCTTTTTTAATAAGCAAGACTTATGTGGAAACACAATATTTAAAAATTGGAGATTCCCGTGGGGAAAGTAGAGGGGGTCTTGGTGGAGAATTTGCCAGGAACAGTTGCATTGGTTGCTGGGATATCTTTCCCTGTTGTCTTCAGGAACCTGCACTTCTTCCTGCTGGCCAGAAGAGGGCAGGAGAAGGCAGAAAATAGGTTGCCCAATTTTTTAGCTCATCAGTCCCCAGCATCCACAGCGTTTGCATGTTTATGGTTTTGCCTGAAAGCCTTTCCCTCTGCCTTACTTAGCTGCTACCTTGCAAGACTTGATTCCCAAAATGAACCAGGATGATTGATTTAATGTCAACCCTTAATTAACCTTGTAAAATTCCTCCCTGCCAAAGCACAACTAACCAACCTAAGAGCTAAATACACACTCTCCACTGTCACCTTGGAGCTTGTGTTAGGGAAAACCAAGAGCAGCTGAGTTGGGTGAACCCTGTCTTTCATCTTCTTTAAGCTTGCAGGAGCCAAGAAACACTGAGGAAGGACTTTGGGGGGGCACAGGTTTCTAGACTCCCAGTGGACTACAGGTCCCCCTCCTTAGGGCCTGGGCTGGGGCTGCGCAGGCGGGGCACTGCACAGATCTCCTGTGACTGAGGCTGCAGAGTGCCCCCAAAGATGTAGTCCAGCCTGAGTCCAGGGCTCCCCTCTGGCAGTTGGAACCGAAACGTCCTCAGGAGGGTGGTAAACATCAGGAAGAGCTCCATTCGAGCCAGCTGGTCCCCAGGGCACACCCGATGCCCTGGAAGCAGAGGGCAAGGTGAGAGGACAGCAGCAGCCTGTGTCTGTCCCATCACCTTCCCACCCAGAACCCAGCCATGTGTCTTGTACCTGCAGAGAAAGGCAGGAAGGCTTCGTTGACCACAAAGTTTCCATCCTTGTCCAGGAAGTGACCAGGGTTGAACTGTCTAGGGGTCTCCCAGCACTCAGGGTCATACAACACAGAGGCCAGATTGGGCAAGATGACGGTGCCCTGCAGAGAGGAGCTGGTGTGGCTCAGGGAGCCTTGGGGCCTGATACCCAGCCCTGGCCCAAAAGGAGCTCAGGGAACTCCCAGTGTGCTGGTAGGAGTGGCCAGGGTGCCTGAGGGAGTTGGGGGAGATCCAGGCTCACAATAGTGAAAGATTTGCACTTTGTATCCTTTGGGAGTGGGGGGGAGAGAGAGAGAGAGAGAGAGAGAGAGAAGAGAGGAGGAAGAGGAAAAAGAAGAAGAAGAAGAAGAAGAAGAAGAAGAAGAAGAAGAAGAAGAAGAAGAAGAAGAAGAAGAAGAAGAAGAAGAAGAAGAAGAAGAAAGAGAGAGAAGAGAGAAGAAAAACTGAGTGCTGGAAAGGCAACAAAGGAAGAGAAGGAAAGTTGATGCTTTAAGATTGGAGAGAGGAGAACATGGCCCATGACTGAACCCTAACCCTCGTCCTAACCTTCAACCCAGCCATCACTTTCCCTCTAACCCTTACCTTTCTTGTAACTCTAACCCTAGCCTTCATGTCTCAAAGGTAAAGCACGTGAGTGGTTGGAGAGAGGACCACACTGACCAGATAGGAGTAGAGAGAGGCCAAAGGCTGCCAAGCAGGTTGACCTTGGCTTCTTCCCATGTGGACCCTCGGCTGAGCAGGAACAACATCAGAAGGCCAAAGTAGAGCAAGGGTGGGATTGTCCTAAATGCAGAACCCTCAGCCCCAGGATTCTGGGGAAGGCCTCTTGCCCCGTGGCTCATTTACCAAACACTATAGAATTCAACCAACACCTGCGGGGACTAGGAGACTGATGACAGCATTCTTGGTTTCTTGGTTTTGACAAAGATAGCTTGAAATTAAAAAAAAAAAAATCTCAGTAGGAGCTGGACATGGTGGTGCACACCCTAATCCCAGTACTCAGGAGGATCATGAGTGCGAGGCCAGCCTGGGCTATACAGTGAAACCCTGTCTCAAAAAACAAGTGCTGGCCAGGTATGATGATTCACGTCTGTCTTTGCAGCTACATGGGAGGAGGAGATCAGGGATCACAGTTTGAGGCCAGCCCCAGGCAAAAACGCCAGATCCTATCTGAAAAATAACTAAAGCAAAAAAAGGGCTGGGGGCGTGGCTCAAGAGGTAGAGCACTTGCTTAGCATGTATAAGACCCTGGGTTTGATCCCTAGTACCACAAACAAAACCCACATCAAAATAACTTGAAGTACGCATCCGAAGCAAAAGCCAATAAAAAATGCAGAAATTAAGCTGATATAAATGCTTCCAGAAGATACTTTTCTTTTTCTTTTTCTTTCTTTCTTTCTTCCTTCCTTCCTTTCTTTCTTCTCTTTCTTTTTTTCTTTCTCTTTCTCTCTCTCTTCCTTCCTTCCTTCCTTCCTTCTTCTTCCTTCCTTCTTTCCTTCCTTTCTTTATTTCTCTCTCTCTCTCTTTTTTTGTTGTTAGGGAGTGATCATGTCCTAGCTATCCACCCCAATAAAACCCAGGACCCAGTCTCTCAGAGACTTTCAGTTGAGGCAGTGGGGAGGCACATGCTTGCTGCCTGAGTGAACTATACATTCCCCATGATAACCTTGGAAAATTCTCCCTACTTTCTCTGCCTGGGATTAAGTAACACTACATTGCAACAAGTCTTTGTCTTCTTTCTTTCTTTCTTTTTGTGGTGCTGGGGGATGAATGTAGGGCTTGTACACGCTAAGCATGCACTTTATCACTGAGTTACACTTCCAACCCACTCAACAATTTTTTTTTGTGGGACTGAGGTTTGAACTCTGGGCTTCACACTTGCAAAGCAGTGTGAACCTTCAGTTCATTTTACTCTAATTATTTTGGAGATGAGGTTCCAGGCTGGCCTTGAACCTTGATCCTCCCAATCTCAGACTTCCAAGTAGCTGGGATTAGAGGCAGGAGCTGGTGCCTAGCTCCACTCAACAATTTTTAATAATCACCTTCAGATGAAGGGGCTCTTCACAAGCTGCTAAATTATTTCAGAACTATTTATTACCCATTATTTATATCCCATGCTGTTCTGGGATCAGTCAGTCACCTTGCAAGGTGACAAGATCTTAGCTTGTAGAACAGGTTCAGAGCACTGTCTACTCCCACACAAAAATGGCAGTCCTCCCTCTCCTCCAGTTTACAGAGCCATCTGCCTGCTGGGAGCCTCCTGGGTACTCTCTGCCAACTTCTCCTCAGGGAATGGCAGCTTGAATTTTACAATCAGGTAGAATGTCTGAGCAGTGACAGATTTAAAGTACAACCATTGTATTAGGGACCATCGCTATTGTCCCTATCACTGAACTGATGAAATGGTTGGGAACAGTTTAGGGATATCTGTAACATTTAATGATATCCTGTCAAGCTTTGATTCCACTCTCTGCAGACATCTCTCTCCCAAGTAGTAAAAGCTCAGTATTGATCCCCAGTTGTTAATGGCCCCCTGGGGGTCTTTATCATAGAGCAACTGCTAGAATCAAATTGGCAAGAGTGGGCTCTTAATAAGGAAATTTCTAATCCCAAATGGCTGAACTCTGGTTCCCTTCTTTTTAACTTGACCTAATTTGGCACAACTTTTGGACAACCCTGGTCTAGGCCCTCCTGCCATGCCAGCAGCAGGAGAACCGATGCTGTGCTCCTGACCTCACATTTAGGAGATACTTGACAAATCTGTGGACTTGGTGGCCAGTTACTGCCAAGGACAGGTCAGTATCCACCAATCAGGCTGACCAACGGGCAATGAAAAATATCTCTATTTAACACATTGGTTCATTTACTTAGCTAGAAAGGCAGTTTTGTAGCAATACAAACATCAGGGAGTGTGGTAAAAAAAACAAACAAACATAACCTTTGGGGTCATAGAGACATGAATTGGAAATGGAGTTAAGTCACTTACTAGCTGTGTGTTTTAGGCAGTTACTTGAGCTCACCAGGCTCAAGTTTCCATGACTCCAAAAAAAGAAGGAATAACAATAACTACAATAACATCTAAAGCAATTACCTTTAGATTATCGAAGTAATCTCTATAGGTTGCTGTGAAGGCAAAATGGGTAGAAGTGGAAATCTCAAGTCTGATCAATTAGTAGTAAGTTACTAATGTCATCCCGTTAGGGCTATTGGGGCTGAGTCTGCCTTGAACCACAGTTACAAGCATTAAATGAAGTCTGTCATGATGGAGAAGATTGGGCTCTCATGTCCTCTCTCCCCATCATTGTACCTCTATGGCTTCCACCAAGGATGGATGGGCTGCAACCTCAGGGCAGAGCCAAAGCCCCTTTCTGAAGAAAATCTTAGGACTCCAGTCACTACCTCTACATACATACATATTGGTGCACCAGGGCACCAATATGAATGACGCTTTCAGTTTTATGAAAATGGCAATCTTACCATCGACACAACTGTGGCACCCAACCTTTTAGATGTCCTTGAAAGATCCTTGACACCTCATGTTCTTACCCTCATGTAATCTCTCTGATACTGGGCTGGATCTTCTAATAAACTTCTAGCAAATGGAATATAGGGACAGTGATTGAGATTAAGTTACAAAAAGACTGTAGCTTCCATATTGGGTGCTCTCTCACTTTCTCTCTGATGGAGGCTAGATGTCATGTTTTGAGCTGCCATATGCAGAAATTCACTTGTCAAGAAACTGAGGGTGGACAACTGTCCATGAGCAACTGAGACAGGAAGACTCATGGGAGTAAGCTTGAAGCAAACATCCCTCCAGTGGAGTGCCCCCACAGTGGAGCCTTCAGGCAAGACTGTTAACCCACCAACAACTTGATGGCAACCTCACAAGGGACCTTGAATCAGTGGTATCCAACTAAGCTATACCCAATTTCCTGACCCTCGAAACTTTAAAATTACAAATGCTCTTACTTTAAGCTGCTAAATTTTCAGATAATTTGTTACACAGCAAGATAGGTAATTAGCTCAACATCTTTTGTCGAGGATCTGTGTAGCTCAGCTACAGTAAAAATACCATTGTACCTCTTGATGCTGTGGTGAGGTCTGGATGGCATGGTGAGCACAAACCCCTAGGTACAGTAAGCCTTGGCAAAGGGCAGGAATTCTTATGTTATCTCATGCCAAAAACCTGCATGGAAGGTTTCAAACTTGGCTCTATGTAGAAATACATTCAACTTCATGTTAAGTTTTCATCCAAGAAAACAACAGTGAACTTCAATATTCATTGTAATCATGGTAGACTTCTCATTCACATGGAGAGTGGAAAGCAGACATCAACACAAAATACTTAACCTTAAAATAGAAAAAGAACCACAATCCTTTATAAACAGCATTTAATACCAAAGAGGAGCAGAAGTTGGAAGTTAATTTTTAAAAATCTGTATTTCTGTGCATAAAAATATTTTCATGTTTAAGAAATTAGAACTTACTGTACATATTGAACTTATTGTACTTGGAATTATGCTAAGAAAGAAAAAGACATCTCTGTAATACAGTCTACAGTTAAATTCTAGGCTTTAAAAATGGAAACATCAGCTAGCTGGGCACTGGTGGCTCATGCCTGTGATCCTAGCTACTCAGGAGGCAGAGATCAGGAGGATCATGGTTTGAAACCAGCCCAGGGAAATAGTTCACAAGACCCTATCTTGAAAAAAAACCCAACATAAAAACAGGGCTGGTGGAGTGGCTCAAGTGGTTGAGCACCTGCCTAACAAGCTCAAGGCCCTGAGTTCAAGACCCAGTACTGCCAAAAAAAAAAAAAAAGTGGGAACATCAGAGCCCCTGCTTATATGCTATTTTAAGCATCTGATTTTTAGAAATCCATGCATACACTTAAATGATAGCCAATAACTTATCACAATTAGCACCAAATATATGGAAACACTCTCTTAGGGTTTTAGCTCTAGACTTCACTGTATTAATGGACATGATATGATATAAAATGTTTTAAAGAGAAAATATCTCCTTGATTACTGATAATTGAGGTTGGGTATTTTAGAGATAGAGTCTCTTAAACTATTTACCCCGGCTGGCTTGGAACTACAATCTTCCTGATCTCTGCCTCCTGAGTAGCTAGGATTATGGGTGTGAGCCACTGGCACCTGGCTGGGGCACATATCCTTTTATTATAAATGAGAAACATAACTAATGGGGATTTCCTTCAAGGAAGCTCAGACCCAAGCTTTAGGTATACATTCAGTAGCTGTCCTTGACTTAAATGTTTTCATACAATTTTCTTTGTCTATCTCTCCTTATTCAGTACTTGCTCTCTTAACCTGGTTACAAAATGACAGAAACGAGAATGGCATATCTGGTAGAAAATAATACAAAATGCAGACCAGACCTAAGGCACATAAATTGCAAATGCCCTAAAGGTTCACCAGTAAGAGCTGACAACCACAAAGCACCCACATGGTGGAACCAGATGAAACTAAGTGATGTAGAGCAGTGGTTTTCAAAGTGTGGCCCCTGAAGTTTTTGTGGTTGTCAGCTCTTATTGGTGAACCTTTAGGGCATTTGCAATTTATGTGCAACAGGGAAATCTGGGAGCCTGCTCAGCCCTGCCCTGCCCAGACACACTAAGTGTGTGTTCTAACCAGGCCCCCAGGGGATCCTGCTGTACCTGGAGGTTTGAGAACCACTGCCCTAGAAGAATCGAACACTATGTTAAGTGAAATGAAGGATTCCAAATGCTAGATCCAGTATAATCACAACTATGTACATTTACTTCAATTTTTAATTTAATTTTTTTGTGGTGCTGGGGATCGAATCCAGGGCCTCGTGCATGCTAGGCATAGCACTCTAGCACTGAGCTACATCCCCAGTACTACAACTATGTAAAATATATGTGAACAGCAAAGGTTGGGTGGAAGTGCACTAAAACATCGGCAAGGGTTACTTCTGAATAGGAAAATCTAACAATAGCCGTCAGTGAGTGCATTCTTTTATAACTGCCCCATTCCAAAACCATAGGCAGACAAACAGATGACTAACTGAATGACTGATAAAGAGGTGGAAGGTTGGCAGAAGCGGAGAAAACAGTCGTGCTGGGCAGTAAGGGCGCTTTCTGCAGGTATTGGGTCAGGCTTGGGCTTCTCAGGGCCTCCTACCTTGGGTATGTAGTAACCACGCACGCAGGTGGAAGTCACGCACTGGCGCACGGCACCCACAGCCACAACGCTGCTAAGGCGCTGCACCTCGTGCAGCACGGCGCGGGCATAGGGCAGCCGCTCGCGATCCTCGTAGCAGACGGCCTGGGCAGTGCCCAGCACTGTATCCAGTTCCTGTTGCACCCTCTCTGCAGATAGGGTGGCTCAGTGTGGGTGCGGGGAATGCCCCTGAGGCCCAGGCTTACCTTTCCCACTCCCCAACCAGAGATGACCCCTGGGTCCTAACACCCCACCCTGCCACCTCTGGAAGACAGAGCTTACTTCCTGTGAACAGCAATTTGGAGGGCTTGCTCCTACAGGGTTTATTTATGGGAAGGGAAAGTACCCAGATTTGAGCACCTCCTATGCACAGGTACTCCATATACAAAGAGCCTTATGGAGTAGAACTGTTGTTTCCATTTTATGCATGAGAAAACCAAGGCTCCATCAGGGTTAACGGGCATGGGGCAGTTGGGCATGATGCCCCTCACCTTGGATGGCTCCGTGATGGACCATGTAGATGAGGGCCCAGCGCAGGGTGGTGGCTGTGGTGTCGGTGCCTCCCAGAAACAGGTCGATCACCACCTGGATCAGGTTCTCCTCGTTGAATGTGGAGACAGGGTCGTCCATAGCCTGGTTGGCAGTGGGTGGGAAGTGTAGCTTTCAGTCTAAAGCTTCCCCCTAATGAGCCCTTGTGTCTCCTGGGCTCAACTTGTCCCAAGACTTGTGGGACTAGAACTCCTTGAAAGTCAGAGCCCTCAGAAGTTCCTGTATCCCAGGACTGTGTCATCTTTTAATGGGGGATCGCTCTTAGGTTCTGGCTCTGACATCAGCCAGGTCCTCTGCTTCCCAGCCTAGCCCTGTCTGCAGACCAGCCCTGGCTTGGAAAACACAGGGAGGAAAACTCTTTCCTAACCCAAGCTTTAAGGGTGCTCTGAAAGCCTGCAGACTGAGTCAAAGACAGAGACCACAGCCTAGAAATGAGGTAGAGCCTAGGAGCACAGCCCTCTCACTTCCTTGTAGCCGTTGCAGGCCCACCTTAGTGATCCGGGCCAGGTAACAGCTGATGAAGTCCTTGGGGCCTCCGGTTTCTTGAGCTTGTGCCTGATGATCTCATAGCGGATGAAGCCCCGCACAGCCTCTTGGTACCTAAATATCTGTTGGTGGGGTCCTGGGAGGTGGCGGAGGGCCCAGGGAAACATGTCGTACAGCTGTGAGGAAAGAGGCCCACCCAGAGCCCACTCAGGTGCCAGCCCCTGAATCAGGGAAGCTGAGAACAATACTTGGGGCTCCAAAGTGACCTGGAGCTTCTGACATGGGCAACTCAGGGTTGCCTGTCATTTGGAGACCCCAAAATACTCTAGACAGAAATAAAAGCAATGGGGACACTGATTGTGTTAAGGGCTGAGCTAGAAACACAGCTTTCTGAGGAATAACCCATCTCTTACCCCTGCCTGTGCTTCCATGCTAACAGGCCCTAACAAAGGTGATTTCGTGCTATAAACTTGTCAGCTTATGAGCAGAAGCTGCCCAAGGAACCCAGAATCAGGCTCTGCAGCCTCCCCCTCCTGCCCACTTTACAGCCTTTCCTGCCAGGCCTGGTGGAGGCCCCTGACAGTGTGGTCCCAGTCATCCCATGGCCCGTACATTTGACTTCCAAATGATAGTTACCCGGCGCCACTTGGTGCTGACAAAGGTCAGGCCAAAGCTGATGGCTTGAGTCAGTTCCTGGAAGATGGGCTCCTCTGAGAGAAAGTGGTGGCCGAACACCAGGGCCCCAATGACTCTGGCTGTGGATCTGACAATAAGGACCTGAGGGTCAAAGGGTCTACCTGGAAGTAGAGGGGCAGGTTCAGTGTGAGGGGGCACACAGGGCTCTGCCAAGGCGCTCATCCAGTCTTGTATATAGTCACTCATTTAGTCATTCATGCTTGTTCTTCATTCATGCACCCAAGGCTTCCTGAGCACCTCTGTGAGCCAGGCTCTGTGGCAGAGGCTGGGTTCATGCAGTCAGCCATCGTATCTGAATGGACAGAAGGACCTAAGGGTGGGGGACTAGCTGTGCCTGGGATTCACAGAGGATTCCCTAGGGCAGGGGACCTCAGGTCTTTCAGTTCTGAAAGAAGCAATAGATTCTCCCAGGGAGGGAAGGTATGTAGGCTAGGACATTTCAGGAGGGGTTGTAACAACTGTAAAAGGTTGGGGGTGTGGAAGGTCTTGGGTGTTGATGGAGCAACTTCCCTTGCCATAGAGAAAGAGGACTTCTGGCTTCCCACTGACCTGGTGGCCTCTTTCCACCACCTTGAAGAAACTCCCAGTCTATTGATAATCTCAAAACTACCACTAATGATCCCAGGCTTCATACACACACACACACACACACACACACACACACACTGCAAAGCTCAGCCTCCTCTGCTGGGATGTGCATGTGAATAGAGGTGTGCAGGAATGGGGTGACCTCCAAAAGCCTGCTCCTTACCCTGCTGTTGGTGGAAGGCCTCGGTCAGCTCTGCTGCTTCGCACTGCAGCTGCGTTTCTAATGCCTGCCTGCCCAGGCCCAGCTCACGGAGTGCCATCAGGCAGAAACGCCTCTGCTGCCGCCATGTGTGTCCATTGCTGCAAATAAGCCCTGGCCCCAGGTTCGGAAAAGAAAAGGGAGAACAGTCACCACTCCCTCCCAGCCTCCCAGGCCAACGCCATCTGACCCCCACCTGGCCTAGAGGACAAATCACAAAATGATCTCCCTAATAGACTCGGGGCTGCTGCCCTGAGTGGAGGATGGGGGGCATTATAGAGTGATGGTCAGTGAGGATGGCCATCGGGGTGGGCTCAGCTATGCCTTTCTCCAGCCCTCTAACCTGATTGTGCCTTTGTCTCCACAAGAAATGGAGGAGTTAAAGAAGGGAAGGGAGGAAGAAGCCTGGGGGGAAGGAAAGGAGGGGACAGGACATTGGCTGAGCCGGGCACTGCATTGGACCTTTCAGGTATTTCAGCTCACTTAACCTCCCCCACATCCCTGGGCTCATTATCCCCATCTATGCCTTTAGTGCCCATCTATGAGCACTAAAGGGCAGCATGTGAAGCTGACTTGCCCAAGGTCACAGAGTCAGCAAGGGGTTAAGTTGGGACTTGGATGCAGGTTTTTTTGAGCCCCACAGCTGGTTCCCTTCCACATCACCCTCTCTCCTCACATGGAGGTGTTTAAGGAGACATGAGTCCTCCTGGTAAGGCCCTGTCTGTTCACAGTTCTGGACCAGCCCTGACTCTCTGAGTGCAGTAACCATCCAGCCACTACCCCTCCATGATAAGAAGGACAGCCTTGCCTCTTTCTCCAAACAGGTCCTGGAAGAGCGGGGTGAGGGGTCTGCCAGAGAACTGCTCAGAGTTGGAGACCAGTGCTTCCTTCACAGCCTGGAAGCCACTCAGCACCACGACAGGTGTGGGGCCCACCCACACGGTGAACATGCTACCATGAGTCTGTGCCAGCTGCAGAGAGACCAGGCATCCCAGGGCTGTGACAATGTCCACTGGTCCCATTTCCTAGAACCTTTCTCCCCCCACCCTCCACTAGGGATGAAGTCAGGGTCTTGTACACGCATGGGAAGAGCTCTACCACTTGAGCCTTGTCCCCAGCCCTTTTTGTTTGCTGAGAAAGGGTCTTGGTAATGTTTTTCCTGAGCTGGCCTTGAGCTCACAATCCTTCTTTTTCTGTTTCCCAAGTAACTGAGATAATAGGCATGAGCCACCATGCCTGGGTGGGGCCTTTGTCTTAACAAGAATTCCCTACCCTCTTGTACTCAACACTCACTCAAAACACACCTCCTCAGAGCAGTCCTCCTAACCCTGGGCACTTAGAGTAGTCAGGTCTTAGTATCTACACCCCATCAGTCCTGAGGATGGGTATATTCTTCCATTGTACAGATGACACAAATAATAGCCTCAATTTCTTGAGGGCTTAGTATTCCTGCGGGCTTCCTATGTGTTACTTGAGTCCATCTGCTGTGTAAGTGTGAGAGTAAGTATCTTTATTTCCATTTTGTGGGTTAGAAACCCACAAAAGTAGCAAAACCACCGTAGACCCAGGTCTTCTGATGCTATTTCTGCTGCATGAGGAGCCCAGGGACTCCAATTCTCTGGGATCTTCAACCAGACATTTAAAGAATACTTATGCAGCATCAGTGGAGAGGAGTGTGGAGCATTGCCACGGGTGGGACAACGTCTCCACCTCCCATGGTTGTCAGCAGCCGCTCAGCTGTGCTGGACTTCACACCCCAGTCTGTACAGCGGGAGCCTTCCAACTGTTGAACTTATTTACCCTGGAAGGTGACTTTGTGCAGAGATTGCTTGAGTAATGTTACTTGAGTGTAACATTGGGGGGTCCCAAGCCTCCCATCTTGGATGATTTTCCAAAAAAATGCCTTCAGGCCACATCAGGCTCTCCTGGCACTGTCATACACAGTATTCCCTGTCACGTTACATTTGCAGTGGACTTCTATAGCCTCTGAATTCTTTTAGTCTTTGCACTCCATTTTTGCAATTCTCTTGCATTTGACAAGTAAGGAAACTGAGCTCAAGGTCTCAGAGCTGGTGAGTGAAAGGACCAGGATCAGCCTGCCCCACTCCCTTCACATATCTGATCACAGTTCCATCCTTCGACCCACATTGTCCCTGGGCTGAGAAGAGAGGAACTCTCTGCCCACACTTTTAGGGTCTCCAACTCAAGTACAACTCCCTACCTGGAGCAGTGTCTCTGGGTGCAGCTGAAAGCTTAGTTGCCAAAGGTTTCCAAGGATGGGCAAAGGGAAGGGGCCAGGAGGAAGACAGCTCCTTTTCCAGAAGAAGGCACCAAGTTTCAGGAGCAGGAAGGAGCCAGCCAGGAAAGCCAACCCACTGAGCAGGGAGAACATCTCTGGGAGTCCTGTGCTTTCTTTCCTCCCGTTTTCCCAGCACAGCCCAACTGCCTTCCTCTCCTCAATGCCCGCCCTCGCTTTTATGTGGGAGCTTTCAGGCAGCAACATGGAGGAAGGCAAACCCAGTGGAGTAAATCCATTTGGTCACACCAGTCACACCAGAGCCATGATGCTCAGCAGGGCCTCAGGGTTGTGGCCTGGGACAGGTTGGGACACACTCACTCATACATCAGCATCAGCCTGCCCTCTGGCCCATGGAGCTCCACCCTGGGGTGTCTCTTCTCAGTCTGAGCTGTCTGCATGGGTCAGTTGAATGGGGCAGGGACAGCCACTGCTAGTGGCAGTATCTCCTCTAAGGACACATCATTCCATCTGAACATGATTAAAGCTGGGCTCTTGTGCCTGCTATACTATATTCAGGTGACATCTCTCTAGCCTCCCAGTCAGTATCCACCTGCTTCAACCTCTGGTCAGCTCGAACTATTTTTCTTTCTTTCTTTCTTTCTTTCCTTCCTTCCTTCCTTCCTTTTTCTTGTGGTACTGGGATTTGAACTTAGGGCCTTGCACTTGCTAGGCAGGTGCTCTACTATGTGAACTCTTCACTTGCCCTGGATCACCATGTTTGTCAGTGGTCAAGTTCTGGAGCCTTTCCTTTGTTTCAGCCATCTTGAGAGTAGACGCTGATGTCTCTGACTTAGTGTCTCATTTGTCTAGTGGGGAAAGTCGATAATTGTTTTAGCCGACTGCCTCACACAGCTGTCGTACCAGTGCCCACCAGTGGAGAGATGCCACATTCCAGTTAGCTAGGTTAAGGATACTTAGTGAAGAGACTGATGGAAGTGGTGTGTGGGCAGGATGGGCAGGAGTCAGGGAACCAAGCACGACGTTTATCACAGAGTGAAGGGACATGTGTAAGGGGTGTGAAGTTTCGGTTTGGGAAGACGAAAGCGCTCTGGACAGATGGTGATGATGGTCACACACAATGTGAATACACCTAATGGCACTGAACTGTGCACTTATAAATTTTATGTTATGTGTACAGTATTTTACTACATTTTTTAAAAGATCAAGAGCTAGCCACGAGTGGTGGTGCATACTTGTAATCCCAGCACTCAGGAGGCTGAGTCAGAAGGCTCACGGGTTTAAAGACAACCTGGATAATTTAGCAAGATCCTGTCACACACATACAAAAAAAAAAAAAAGTCAAGAGACAGAGATTGGGACAAAACTGGAGTCCCTAAATGGGTGGAAAGGGTCTCTGAGTGCCTCCTCTTCTAGAAGTTCCATTG